CCTGAAGAAGACCAGTCGACCGAAACGTCGGGAACTTCCATTTCTCTCGCTGAGTTTAAAAAAAAACGACCCTGCAATTGTATGTCTATGTGTTCATCTACGCAGCAGCAGCAGCGTCATGCATGTGCGCGTTTAAAAAAAATACGTGTCTGTGTGTGGGGAGCGGCGGTGCAGTGGTTAGCGCTGAACGGAACTACCAAATAACAGTGCGGTGTGTAGTAACCATATGCATGTATGTTCAAATTCTTTCGCACCATACATAGCCAACCGTGCTAGTCAGAGGTGCGGGACATCAGCGCTGGGGAGCCAAAGACGGTCGGGCGTGGTGTCAGTCACCCACCGCGTCGCGTGCCGTGCTGGCCTTCCTAGGCGCTACTCGGTAACAGCACTTGCCCCAATAGTCTGTTAAAGTCTACACGGGGCACCTTTGTCTTTGTGTGTGTGTGAGCATGCTTCTCCTTTCTGGAGGAACTGACTCGGCACGTGGTGATCATTCTACTTGAACACTCACCACACACAACCTCACCACACAACATCACCACTCACAACCTCACCACTCACACACAACCTCACCACTCACACACAACCTCACCACTCACAACCTCACCACTCACAACCTCACCACTCGCACACAACCTCACCACTCACAACCTCACCACTCACACACAACCTCACCACTCACACAACCTCACCACACAGCCTCACCACACAGCCTCACCACACAACCTCACCACTCACAACCTCACCACTCACAACCTCACCACTCACAACCTCACCACTCACACAACCTCACCACACAGCCTCACCACACAACCTCACCACTCACAACCTCACCACTCACAACCTCACCACTCACAACCTCACCACTCACACAACCTCACCACACAGCCTCACCACACAACCTCACCGTGGTGAGTGTTGCGGAGAGGGATGATGACAGAATGAGTATTTACCTAGCGTGCCTGTGCAACTGGTGTACAACCAAAGAGAGCACACGGCTACTAGAGGCAGGGAGGTCTACGCAATAACACTCGTTTCGTAGAGAGCGACAGAGGCAGTCAGTCACAGGCAGAGCCAACGTGAACATTTCAACGTTTGCCCGACGTTCGGCATGTTGGAACCACTGGCCCAACCCTGGCCCAACGTTCCGTGTTTTACTTTGGGGGTGGCTGGGTGGGGGACGTTTCAGACATTGGGAGCAGCACAGGAGTGAGAGTGCCAACTCGTTAAGCATTGTCGTGGAACACGACTGTTAATGCCATGCATGGGCAGGGCTCCCTGCTGTCTCCACACACAGACACTTTCATAATTTAGTCCATCTGTCTATTGGCTTTGGAGACCAGTACCAATCATTCATCAGCAGCATTTGTCGAGCAGTCAGAACTCGAGGCGGACGTCGACATTCATGGGTCTCATCAGCAGCCCGGCGTGCTTAAACACACGGGGGTTATTCATCTGATGAGTAACCCATGAGTAGGGATATTTGTGTTGACAGTTATAGCGTCCGCTAAGGGCTTAATAGATGCGCCCGACATGACGGACTCGATTGCGTGATTTGTCACGATACCACGTGACATGTATTTCGTGTGTTTGCTGTCCTTTCCCCGCACCTGCGATTAATTATCACGGTTGGCTACGTACGGTGCAAAAGAAGTTCAACACACGTATACGTGCGACTCTTGCTGCTGCCTCTGTTACCGCAGCAGCAGTCGCTGTCTCCCTGTCTTTCTGCGTCTCCCGCGTGTCCCAGTGTTTGTCCACGTGTCTCCTCCCTGCTCCCCATCTCTCCCCGTGGCCTTCGCCGGACGGTGACGTCTGTCCCACCTGTCCCTGTGTCTCCACTCCCCCTATCTCTCCTCTCCGTGTCTCTGTGCTTCTCCCTTATCTGCCCCCGCCCCTCCCCACCACCGGGCCCCGTGCCCTTGTCACCTACGGTGGAGCAAGCCCCCTTCTCTACCACTACACCGCCTCCTACCCCCACACTCTTCCCCATTTCTCTGTGCGTGCGGGGGAAGTGCACTTCCACTGCCCGCCCCACCCCCCTCCACAACCGCCTTCGTCTCCCATGCGAGGAGCTCTCACTTCTCGCGGCTCCTTGATTGTAATCACACTTGGGGAGCTCACTGACACTCACTGCCTCTTTCCTGCAAGGTGAGTGCCCGGCCTCAGGAGTTGCAGCTCCTAAGCGTGTCTCTGTGATCATCACGATTAGCGCAGTGAATTGCCGGGGTCAGGACGCGCGTCGTCAGAAGGGATGACGGCGTGGAGGTCGAGACTGGTCACCGAGTGGCAGCCAAAGCAAGGGGGCACGCTGGGACACGGAGCCATTCGGGGTTACATCTCGTCCAGGTGGACGTTCGGTCCGCCAAGGAGACTTGCAACAACGCCGTCGGGTCAAAGTTGAACCTGGCTGGGCCGGTAGGGGCGGGTCGCCGTGGCCTCGGGGTCTTGTCAGCGACGACTTGTTTCCTCGAGAGGGATTGCGGCCCCTGCACGAGGCCACCGTCCTCACGGCAGTCGTCGCGGTCACCTCGCCGCAGGCAGGAAGCGGGGCAGCGGGGAAAAGGGGCAGCAGGGCAGCGGGGCAGCAGGGCAGCGGGGCAGCAGGGCAGCGAGGCGGTGGCGTGGACGACGACGACGTGGACCGAGTTCACGGTCACCGCGCTCAGTCGACGCGCGCACCGCAGACAACGTGACGTGCACGGTGGGAGGGAGGCGGGGGGGCTATGGTCCCATTGGTATCTTGGCCCGCAAGCTGCGTAGAGCTGGTCTACATTCCTGACACGCGGTGTGATAGACAGGTTTGGTGAAATGTGTGTTGGTGGCCGGCGGGTGGTAATTCCGCTGTAGTCTACGCCCCTTCAATGGAGGAGGAGGAGGAGTAGCTCGTGAAGGCCTCTCGTCGTGGCCTGCAGCAGACCTCGACATCGGTTGGCATTTATCTGCACGTACCACTTTGCTCCAATCGCGCGCTATCACAGAATATTACGGCGGTGAGACGTTAACTACCTTGCCTGGAATACAGGAGGTCGTGGCTTCGATCCCGATGCCTCTTGTATATTTGGAGTTTGCGTGTCTCTCTCCGCGTGGTGGCGGGGATTTTTTTCCGGGTCCTCCGGTTTTTGCCCTCCACGTTTAGAATCGACGTCACGCGTTTAGAGTATTTGGCTGCTATAAATGCCCATGTGATCAGCCACTTGGTTGAGCTGTAATTTGTGGCCAGGTCGCTTCTGGAAAGAGCTCCACAGCTCAGTGCGCTACACCTGGTAAAAAAATAAATACATTTCGTTAAAAAAAAATGTTTATATAAGAACGACAGTGCTGGCTTATATGGCCCCGCACGTGTTTATATAGCTCGTGCCACCAACAACAGAGATCCCGTGTAAAGCCTAAACAGACTCTCAAGGCTAGCGCTGTTCACAAGTAGCACCTATAAAGGCTAGCACGTCACACGAGGGGGTGGGTGGCCATCACCACCACGCACGGTCGTCTTTGTCTTCCCAGTAGCGATGTTTAGACACCGCACCAAGTACTTATTTGAGGCTGAGTTGACCTTGTGAAGGCACAGCACCGGTTCGTATGATCGTCGCTGGTGTTGGCTGTGAGCGAGAATCGAACCTCGGTAGCTGCGTTTGTGGCGCAGTGCGCTACCTGTTGCATCACCACTCCCCGTGCCACACACACACACACACAGTGCGCTAACCGCTGCACCACCACTCCCCCTGCCACACACACACACCTTCTCCCGGGTACGAGCAGCGGCTGCCTCTGCTAATATCTATTTTAAATCGTGGACACCGTTAAATAATTTACATCTCGAAACTCTAGGTTGGAAAGACAAGTATCCTGTTTTCCATTGTAAATGTTCTCACTGTCATCTGTATCAATACATACATCTAATACATGTAATTGCTGCGTATACTTAACCATAACGACGCTTATGATTGTGTAACGATTGTACCGACAAGTAGTCTGTATTATGATAATTTTTTTTTACCCTTTTATCTGGCAACAAAACTGACACCTTTTTTTTACAAGGAGTCATGTTTGCATAGACCACAATACCTGCAGTCATAATGCAAACAAAAAGCATAACTCTGATAATGTATGCATTGTCCTTGAAATTGATTAGAGTGGATTGGTGTGGGCCAATCAACTTCAAGGACAGTGCATACATTATCAGAGTTGTGTTTTTTGTTTGCATTATGACTGTAGGTATTGTGGTCTATGCAAATATGACTGCTTGTAAAAAAAGGCGTCAGTTTTGTTGCCAGATTAAAGGGTAAAAAACCAATTATCATATTTTTTACTGGCAAATGAGGTTCCAATGGTAGTCTGTAATAGTCTCGTGCTGTATATATTTTATAAAGTTTAGCGTCGAGCTGGGACCAATATCTAACGGAGAGGGTGCTTGACTAAAAACATCTGGCAGTTCCACCAGCATTGTTCCAGCAAGGCCGAGCCTGCTGATGAGCCGCTGAATGTCAAAACCAGTCCAGGGTTTTGTTTGCGTTGAAGCGCGCATGAATCGTGCCTCCTCAAAGGATGCACGCCCAGAAAACGTCGTGGCTGACGGGATGTGTAAGAAAACACATGTCCTCGTGTGTGTGCGTGTGTGTGTGCGTGTGTGCGTGTGCGCGTGTGTGTGCGCGTGTGTGTGCGCGTGTGTGTGTGCGTGTGTGTCCGTGTGTGTGTGTGCGTGTGCGCGTGTGTGTGTGTTTGATGTAGGGGGAGCGGTAGTGTAGCGGCTAGCACCAGTGACGATTATCTGAATCAGTCCTGGGCCTCCCCTAGATTGACTCAGCCTCATGAGCACCTGGTGCGGTGTTAACATCGCCACTTAGGAGACAAAGGTGGTCGGGCGTGGTGTTGGCCACCCACCCCCTCGTGGGCCATGCCGGCCTTTATAGGTGCTCGCTAACAGCACTTGCCCCTGCAGTCTGTTAAGGCTACACGGGGGATCTTTGTCTTGTTGTTGTTGTGTGTTTGTTATTTCACAGGCGGATCCCAGAACACGACTCCGCGCCCGTTTCACGCCGCCGCCGCCCTCCTGGAATCCTACCCCAAGTTTTCGAGCGTCGCGGGGCCCAGCGGGACCCCAGGGGGACCCCGCGGGACCCCAGGGGGACCCCGACCCCTCCGCGGTGAGGGGAGGGGCGGTGCGGGTGGCGTGGCGGTGTTAGTTTTGTGTGTTTGTGGGCTCAGCAGGGATCCCTCGATTTTACCAAAGGGATGCGTTTCTTCAAAAAGACCACGCCTAAAACGAAATGTCGTACATGGGAACGGCTTTTCCCATTTAATTTAATACTAAAATATGAGGGATTGTGATTCGAACAGTCATTCCAACTCTACTACTCTACTACTAACCTATATACACCTATATCACTCTTCACAATAAAAAAATAATAATGATAAAGAACATATTAAAACGATTGAGTAATTCTGAATTTAACACAAAAATAATTAACCTTTCCAGGAAACTCGCCAAAATATCTGCTGCATGTTGGAATGACGAGGGTGGGGGGTGATGCAGAGGCGCTGGTGCCGTCAATGCAGGGACACTGTGACGCTGTCGTGGATGGATGACGACGCAGCCTCCCACGTGGCTTCCTGTTTGATGATCTCACGGCGTGTGGCCGGGAGTCACTTTTGGTTGATGCGGAAATTCGATTTCGCTCATCGAAAATCGTCTGTAATTTGTCAATTGCGTTAATGGGAAATTTCGTAAACCGAACGTTCGTAAATCGAGGGACGCCTGGATTTGATAATTATTCATTTAGTCAAGAAAGTCACACAGAGTGCCAGACTCCTCTTGCAGGAAGGTTCTGCTACATTGGGATGTTTGGCAAAGATCAATGGTACTGTGTGTTTGTTCACAGCGAGGCCACCAACACCAGCGACGATGATCTGAACCGTTTTGAGCCTCCTCTAGGTCGGCTCGGCCTCAAACGAGTACCTGGTGCAGTGTGTAAAATCATCGCCACTAGGGAGACAAAAGCGGTCAGGCGTGGTGCTACTCACCCACCCCCTCGTGTACTGTGCCCGCCTTCATAGGTGTTGCTAACAGCACTTGCCCCGAAGGCCTGTTAAGGCTATAAGGGGATCTTTGTCTTTATGGTCGTGGGTGCGTGTGTCTGCGTGAGTGTGGATCAAAGTTTGAGTTTCTACACCTGTTTATGCCTGGGTGTGTGAGTTTGTGTGTCCGTGTGTGTGTGAGTGTGTGTGTCCGTGAGTGTGTGTGTGTCCGTGTGTGTGTGAGTGTGTGGCTGTGTGTGTGTCGAGAGCGGTGACGCAGTGGTTCGCAAACTGCAGCGTGAATCCATCGACCTGGGTTCAAGTTCTGGCGATGGCCAACACCAGTGACGGAGTGGCCGTCTGAACCTGTCCTGGGCCTCCCATATAGGTCAACTCGGCCATAACTAAATACTTGAATACTAATCTCGGAGTGTAAACATCAGCACCGGGGAGACGGGGAGACAAAGGTGGCCGGGCGTTTCTATTCTGGCGTATGATGGCAATATGTTCAGGAGCTAAGTGCCAATGTCTGCTGGCCATGACGAGAGGGCTTGAGAGAGAGAGTTGGTGTCGTTTTGCTGCTCATTCTGCTCCATGGAAGGAACACAGACCACAACGGTTTGCGGTACGATCCATTTTTTTGGCTTGCATGGCCACAAATGGCCGCACCACCCCGTGACTGCCTAAATAGGTGCTCGCTAACAGCACTTGCCCCCGGACAGTCCTTTGTAAGTCTTCGTCGCTTTGGTCTGTGTCGTCTCGACTGCACCCACACGCCTGCGTGAGATTGTGTGTGCGTGTGCTTCAAATGAGTACAGTGCCCGGTGGGGTTGGGTAAACATTGCCACTAGGGAGACAAAGGCGGCCGGGCGTGGTGTTGGCCACTCACCCCCTGGTGTGTCGTGCCGGCCTTCATAAGTGCTCTCTAACAGCACTTGGCGCTGCAGTCTGTTAAGGCTATACGGGCATCTTTGTCTTTGTGTGTTGTGGGGCACAGTGGTTAGCGCACTGCGATACCAACTGAGTGACGCGAGTTCCTTTTTCCACTCGCGGCCCCCAACGCGAGCGGTGACAAATCTGAGCCAATCTCGTCCCTCCCTTAGGTCAGCCTCAAATGAGCATCTGCTGCGACGTGTAAAACATCGCCATTAGGGAGACAAAGGTGGCCGGGTGTGGTGCTGGCCACCCACCCCCTCTTGTGCAGGCCCCAACAATCTGTTGAGGCTCCACGGGGAGTCTTTGCCTTTGTGTGCATGTACAAGCCGCTTGCGCAAGCCGCGTTGACCCCGTGACCCCGTGACTCATCTGTGGACCCTGTGCCCCACGGCGTCTCCACGGTTCCGCAGGTGCCGTGCTTCCCCCGTGTGGAGGCCTTGGGCTCTGGTTAACGGGCCGGGCCCGGCACGGCACGGCACGGCAGCGCACGCCGCTTCCTCCTCGCGGCGCCCTTCTCGGTTTTCCGCGACGGGTTTCAGAAGTGCCGACTGCTGTGAACGGAGGCGACGCAGTTGACAGCGAGCCGGGAGCAAGGCCCCGTGGCCTTAAATGCAAACTCCGAGTTTCATCGCGAAACTTATTCCAAGCCTTGACCCATAATAATAACAAATAATAATTCAAACGTATAATTGCGCATTCCATCCTAGGATCCCAATGCACGATGCATGAACAGCAGGAAACTTAAACAGAGCCAGGGCCACCGATCAACCTAGAGAAGGAAGGCCGGTTTACAGAGATGGGTTTTCAAAGCAGACTTCAATCTATCTACCGACTCTGATTGCCTGGTTTCAAGTGGCGAGGCTTATGGGTGCCACGCTAACACAAGCCCGGTCGCCAAAAGAGCGCGAGCTAGACCCTGGGAGTGCTGAGCAGTCGGAGATCAGAAGATATTAAGGACGTTGATGGATTTATAAATGTCTTAGTTCCTGCAAGTAATTTGGGTTGAGCCCTTTTAAATCCTTATAGGTTAATAGCGGTATCTTAAAATACACTCGGAATTTGACCGGTAGCCAATAACATATCACCCTAGCCTTGACCCACAGTCTTAACCCATAGCCCTAGCCTTAACCCATAGCCTTAACCCACAGCCTTAGTCTTAACCAATAGCCCTAGCCTTAACCCATAGCCTTAACCACAGCCCTAGTCTTAACCCATAGCCTTAACCCACAGCCCTAGTCTTAACCCATAGCCCTAGCCTTAACCCATAGCCTTAACCACAGCCCTAGTCTTGACCAATAGCCCTCGCCTTGACCCCTAGACCTAAATATCACCGTCGCCCTCACTCCAACCCAGTCTCCATAGACTTCACCCTAGACCCACTCCCAAACTCTCAGCCTCTCTCATCGCTGCGGTATTGCTCCTCCTCCTGTCAGGCCACGGATCTTTCAATCTCGCTTCGTGTAATCGTCATCATCATCATCAGATGTTACGTGGAGATTGTCTCCGTGGGCCTCTCTGTTCACGGCTCTCTGAGAGACGCCAAGGGGCAGTGTAGGGCAGCACTGACGGCGTCTGGGCGGACCTTGCCTCAACGCTGCTGCTGTGCGCGTTCAAACGCCGTACAGGTTGCACGCGCGTGCGTGAGTGTGTGTGTCGATGTGTGTGTATGTTGATGAGCGTGTGTGTGTGTCGATGAGCGTGTGTGTGTGTCGATGAGCGTGTGTGTGTGTGTGCGGTAGTGGAGCGGTTAGCGCGCTGCGCTACGAACCTGGCGACTCGGGTTCGATTCCCGCTCACGGCAAACATCAGTGACGTTTTTCTGAACCGGTCCTGGGCCTCCCCTAGGTCGACTCAGCCTCAAATGAGTACCTGGTGCGGTGTGTAAACATCGCCGCTTGGGAGACAAAGGCGGTCGGGCGTGATGCTGGCCACCCACCCCCTCGTGTACCGTTCCGGCCTAAATAGATGCTCGCTAACAGCACTTGCCCCAACAGTCTGTTAAGGCTATACGGGGGATCTTTATCTTTGTGTGTTGATGAGCGGTGGTGTAGTGGTTATCGCGCTTGCGCTACGAACCCGGCGACCCAAGTTCGAATTGTGCCCACAGTCAACATGAGTGGGGAGGGGGGGAGGGGGGAGGTCTCCGCCTCTCCGTGCCGCGTGTGGAAGCCGCTCGCGGCAGCGGCGCTTGCGACTCGACGAAATCGCCCATCGGAGATCTGCCCATGTATGGAAGAAAGTAGGCGTGGCGTTTCTCCCGAAGGGGCGTGTCTTTGCCCATATATGGTCTTGAGGATCTTGAATCGAGGTCGATCGTATATATTATGGTTCGGTCGATCCACCGGTCGTCTCGAAGTCGATCGTAGTTTGCGGGTTAATCGGCGTGTCGAGTCATTGCCAATCGATCCATAGATCTGGTAATCCCATTGATTGGCTAATATCTACCTCATCGGTGAGTCCGTCGCAGTCCGATTGTATTGTACCGCAGCGCCACCCCCTCCTCACTTGAGCCGAACCGCGCTGCTGCTGCCCCCAGCGTCACGCACGGCCGCCGCCATGATGGAGGCGGCGGCGGCTCGAAAAACCAATCCCTGAGAATTGCCCGCGATGGAACTCGCAACGATAAACCTCCTCAGCCCGGTCCTAGCCCCCGAGACACGAACCGAGCCGTGGTCCCGAGGCCCAGCCTCACACCAGCTCTAACCCAAGAACTTGCCCTAACCCCTGCTCAGATCACGTAAACCTAACCCAGGGCTTACACCGTAACCATAGCCTGAACTGAAACCCTCACAGAGCCTTTAGCACCGACTCCTAGACCTAACCTGAACCCTAGCCATAGGACGAGCCCCAATTGTAGCCTTAACATTCAGTCTAGACCAGGGGTCGGCAACCAAAATAACAAGAAGAGCCATTTCTTTCCAATTCGGTACAAAATTCAGTATTTAAAGAGCCGCAATGCATCTGAGTACATACTATACATACGTACTCATCGTCAAGAAGCAGCCCGTAAAGAGCCGCATGCGGCTCCGGAGCCGTAGGTTGCCGACCCCTGGTCTAGACCATAACCTCCGTAATGCCAACACGAACTGTAACATTGCCCTGTATTCATAACCCCTAGTAAAACAATTTTAATCCAGTGGTCAAATGATAAAGGCCTGTACAAATTAATTGCTTATTTTGAACGTTGATTTTCTCTGCAGCTCCGGTGAGGCCCACGGGTTCGCCGAGTCCACGCACCCCGCTGGCCACGACCCGAACCCCGACCTCGACCCCCGTGGTTCACTCCCCCGCTGCGAACAACCTGAAGCCCGTGGAGCTACGGTACCCCAAGACCCCTTCGACCCCTTCGACCCCGTCGGTCCGACCTAACGGACTCAGCCCGGCACCCGCGTCCAGTTTGTGGCCGCACGTCGCCGCCGCCACCACGGACCACAAGTTCCAGGGGTTTCGGGTACCCCAGCCGCCAGCCCAGCCCTCCAGGGCCCCCACGGAGGAGAATCGGCCCACGGTCGCGAGGCCCTCGCCGCACGGCACGGCCGCTGGCGGGAATGTGGCGCTAGGCCCGAAGACCACGGGCACGCCGCGCCACGCGGACTCTGAGATGAGCGCCCCTGCTCCACGCACGCCGCTAAAATCAAAGCCCGCCGCCGGTCTCGGCAAGGACCTGGCCGGTGGCGCCGGCGGGCCTGGCTCGCCCAGCCTGCAAAAGGCCGTGACTCCCAGGGCCCCCGAGCCAGACAAGGCTGCGATCTCGCGGGCCAATGGGCCCGGTAAAATTGAGTTGCCCAAGGTTTTTGAGCCGGGCAAGACGGAGACCTCTAGAGAGCCAGGTCCCGGTAAGGTTGAGTTGCCCAAAGTCTTTCAGCTGGGCAAGAAGAAGACCCCGAGGGACTCGGGACCAGGAAAGATTGAGTTGCCCAAGGTTTTTGAACTGAAAAAGTCTGAGACCTCAAGAGACCCAAAGCCAGTGAAGATTGAGACTCCTCACGTGTTCAGACCTGGCCACATTGAGACCCCTAGTGATCACGAGCCAGGAAAGATTGAGTTGCCCAATGTATTTGAACCAAGCAAGAATGTGACCTCTGGCGACCCGGGTCCGGGTAAGATTGAGTTGCCCAAAGTATTCGGACCAGGTAAAGCCGAGACCGCGAGTGGCCTAGAACCCGGAAAGATTGAAACTCCTAAAGCGTTTAGACCGAGCAAGACGGACGCCCTGTCGCCCACAGCTCCGGGAAAGATCGAGACGCCCAATATGTTTAGGCCGAACATTGCCGAGACCCCCAGGGCCCTCGCAGCAGGCAGAGGGGTCCCTCCCACGACCCCGACGCAGGCCACGCCGGGGCCCGGCCCGGCAGGCAAGCCGGACATCCTGACCCCCAAGCCTCAAGCCACGGCGACGCCGGGACCGGCGACCGCGCCGGAGAATGGTGCCGCGCGGCCCACGGAGGCCGCGGCTGCCCCAAACAAGTTGAGCTGGCTGTGGACTCGTCCGGCCGGGCTCCCCGAGCAGGCGGAATCCGAGGAGGTGCACGATGGGATCCCCGCAGAGAGCCCCACAGAGAGCCCCCGCGCGAAAGACGCCCCTGAGAGGTGAGACCCCCCCCCCCCGCCACTTCCTCGGCTGCTGAGCTGGCCGGTGCCCCCCGGTAGTTGGGACATCATCGTGATCATCTATCGTAGTAATCATCATCGTTGTACTCATCATCGTCATAATCATCAGCCCCCAGTCGCCGTAATCATAAAATACACATCCCGTGAGCCGCAAGGCCTTCTGGGATTGCGCAATGTCAGCTACGTTGATTCAATGTGAGCAAACTCTGGATCGGTTTCAACATTCAGGGTCTCAGCATCATCATGGTAATGATTACGTGGAATTATTTAGTTGTGTCGAACTTGGACCCCGTATCTTCATCGAGGGTCCTCCCCTATAAACATCTGGCAGCTCACCAGCAGTGGTTCCAGCCAATGGCGGAGACAAGATCTTCAGGTAGGGGGGTAACACCTCCAGCAATGAAAAACGATAGGAGTTGTTAGTAGGTAAGGAGTTGTTGGTAGATAAGGACTTGTCCCTTGCTTTTTATTCGACGCGTGTGCGGCAACGGCGCAGCCATCGATCGAGGGTCGAATTCGAACCGCGTTGTGTGATCGGCGTCGCGCTCGCTGAAGGTGAATGCCTTCAGGGAAGTCGTGTACTGTTTGCGCAACTGCGCACAATTCTGTGAGTCACTTATAACTGCTTTGCCGTTACTTATTGCCAATGATGAACTCAGACTATTGTCCTATCATCTCATAGAGTCCCTGGCGCGTAATAATATGCTACACAGTGGCAGTGGGCGTCGCAAAATGCCGATTTACTACTAATAAACCCCAATGATCCGATCGAAATGAGGGATTTCGATCGGATCATTGGGGGGGGCACGTGCCACCCCACCCCCCCACTGGCTCCGCCAGTGGCTCCGTGTGTTGAATCACCGTTGCTGTGTAAACGACGCACTCACAGAAGGCCGTGCTGCTCGTGGGTTGCGTAAAAATCCACTTTGTGTTCATGTTTATTACGCCGATGGCCAGATCTGTGCAGGAGGCGGTTGTAAGGGTTGTCCTCCGCAGCGGCGCTGAATGAGTGTTGCGTGTGTGAGGTCTGCTGCGAAACGCTGTGAGCCGCTGTGATCGACGTCACACACTGGGTTTGTCTAGCGCCCACTCAGCCACCCGCTCACTCACTCACTCGTCACACTGCAGGTCGCAACAGCACACCGAATTCACAAATTCACCGACTCGCCCACTGACGCACTCTCTCACTCAGCCACTCACCACACTGCAGGTCAGAACAACGCTCCCTCACTCGCCCAACGATCCACCCACTCACACCGCACTGCAGGTCACCTTCTCTTCCCGCTTCTTCCCTTCGCACCGCGCCACTCTGGAATTCCCTGCTCCCGTCCTCGTCTCTTTTCCCTCCTAAGTTCTCACGATAAAAACAAAAACCTTTCGAGACTCAAGAAACGGCGACTCGAGGAATGTCCCAGATTCACGTGAGACACGTCACTGGGAGCGAGGGGGGGGGGAGGTGGCGGGTTTTTTGGGCCGTGAGAGTTTGTCTGTGTGTGCGTACATCTGTCAGTCGTCTCCACCCGCAACATCCCATACATAATCTCTTTCCAGCAGCAAGCGTTCCTCACTTCACGAGGTAACCTCAAAGTGCACCTAGCCTCTTGATTGGATGACACCGGCAGCAGAGCCTCTAAACGGGGGCATGACGGCTAGCGTGCCACTGAGCCACGGCACCGATCATGACATCCACAATGACTTCAATCGTGCCGCTCGTTGCTGGCCGCTTGGCGTCTTGGGCCATTCGACCTCTGCTCTGCACGATCGTGATTTTGTACAAACAAAAAATTGGCCGTGCCTCGAGCACGTGGCGGGTGGGGAGGGGTTTGTGGCGTGGGGGGGGGGACATGGGGGCTGGAGGAGGGGCGATCCTCCACTCACGGTCACTGCCCTCACCTGTCCGCCCAGGTGAGTGAGCGCGGGGGAGGCAGGGGAAGGGGGGGTCAGACCCGCGGGGCTGGGCGCGTGCGTGCGACAGGCTGATCTCACGTTACACACGCGCACAGAGAGAGAGAGGAGCCGGTGTGGGCGGTGGGGGTGGTGCTGTATTTGCCGTGTGCGCTACTGTATCCGTGAGGTCCGGGTCCGTGCCTGACGCGAGGTGGGCACGCGGCCGCGGGTCCCTGTTGATAGAGGCGCCCGGCACGCGCCCACAGCAGCAGCGGCGGCGGCGGCAGCCACGGCGACGACGGTGGAGCGTCGTTGTGACGCGAGCGGCGTGGGTGGCTGGGATCGACGGGAGCGGACCGCGTTCCGAGCCGGCGCGCCTCTTCACCCCCCCCCTCCCCCGCGTGTGGGGGGACCGGGGGCTGTCCGCGCTCCGCTCGCGGTGGCGACGGCGGCGGCGGTGGCGGGACGCCCTTGAGCACAGAGAGAAGCGCCGCTCGGCTCGGGAGTCGAACCCGGCCTGACAAATTTAGCGGCCACGCGTACGAGGCTGGGGGGTGGTGGGGGAGGCGGCAGGTGGGCGGGTGGGGGAAGGGGGGTTGCGGGTGCTGGAGCGTGGCTCTCACCTGCACGAGACGGGGAAGCGCCGGGAGTGATTTATTGAAAAAGGGGGCAGCCGCTGCCCTTGGAGTGAACGCTCCACGCAGCGGCCGCCTTTGCCACGAGTTGCAGAGGGCTTCTCGGTGAAGGAGGCGGGGGAGCCCGGGACTACTCTGAGATCATCGTCACAATTATTATTATTATATCTTCATTTTTAAAGTCAAGCTCGACGTGGCATGAAGGACGCGCGCTCCGCAGGCGCTGTTGGCCGCAGGCGGCGATGGTGGTGCCACTGCCTGCGAGGGCCGGAGCAGCCCCAGCAGGCCCCGCACGGGCCAGACGGGAGGGCAGCGTGGCGCGGCGCCGCGGGCAGCAGCCTGCTGCTGTGCGGGCAGCGTGACGGGGCTGCGGGTGACGATGGCGGTGTTGACGGGGGTGACGGGGGTGACGGGGGCGATTGCGGCGGTGGTGATGGTGGTGACGATGACGATGAGCGGCGCCCGTTCAGCAGGGAGGACGGCGCGAGCGTGACCGGCGCGAGCGTGACCGGCGAGTGCGGAGCGGAGGAGTTCGACTCCCTGCTGTCGCCGTCGCTCCCGTCCTCCTCGCCCTCCGCCTCCTCGCTGCGGTCGCTGCTGGGTTCGTGGCCCGGGGGCAGAGCGCCGGACCCCGAGGGGAATGCGGACGGGGACTCCAACCGGGACAAGGACTCCAACCGGGATGGGGACTCGAACCGGGACAAGGACTCGAACCGGGACAAGGACTCAAACCGGGACAAGGACTCGAATCGGGACAGCGGCGTGGAGACTCAGGGCCTCCCGGGATCTCCCGGGTGTGGGGTCCAACCCGAACCGCCGAACTCTCCGGAGCCGATGGCAAGCGCGGCTCAGGTGATGACGCGCATGTTCTCATGTTGTGTGTGTCTGTCTTTGTCTATCTGTCTATGTCTGTATGTGTCTGTCTGTCTGTTTGTGTATGTGTCTGTCTGTGTCTATCTGTCTGTGTCTATCTGTCTGTGTCTGTCTGTGTGTGTCGGGGGAGCAGTAGTGTAGCGGTTAGCACGCCGCACTATGAATCCGGCGACCCGAGTTCGATTCCTGCCCTCGACCAATAACAGTGGCGAATATTTGAGCCGGTCCTGGGTCTCCTCTAGGTTGACTCTGCCTCAAATGCGTACTTGATGCGATGTTTAAACACGAGGGTGCTAGCCACCCACCCCCTCGTGTGCCATGCCGGTCTTCATAGTTGCTCGCTAACAGCACTTGCCCCAACAGTCTGTTAAGGCTATATTAAGGACCTTTATATGTGTGCTTGTGTCGTGTCCATCTGTTTGTATTAATTGCTATACTGCAGTGTCTATGTTGGTGGTTGAGTCGGCTTGAAGTGACCTGATGAGAGGTCAAGGCACCAATCATCATCAGAGACTCATTAATTATCGCTGTCATCACGCTCCTCCTCAAGCACGAATCACGGTCATCAGCAGATCCATCATCGTCCACCATAATTATCACACATCTGCATCATCATCAAACATTCACGATCGTGATGACAATTTTGATACACATCCTAGTGACACACACATCAACTTGCATAGCCTTAAACAGGCTCTTGGGGCAAGTGCTGTTAAGCACTCACCAACATCACACACTTCACATCATCACATCACACACATCACATCATCATCACGAGCATTATCACACACACACACATTGTCATCGTCTCACACATTCGCATTATCGTCATAAAACACTCACTGTAATGATCGCTCTCCGTGTAACATCGTCAACTCCCACGCCTCGCCACATGCCACTCGTCACCAAAGCAAACAGTGATGACCCCCACCCACCCACTAAGCTTCCCCCTCCATCATCACCACCATCATCATCATCATCACCACCACCACCATCATCATCATCACCACCATCATCATCATCATCACCATCATCATCGCCGCCCCCTCCGTCACCACGCCGGTGTTGGGCGCGCGAAGCAACCCCGGGGCTCTGAGCGATCGCCCGGTGTGAAAACACAAAGACAAACAAAGACAAAGATCCCCCGTATAGTTTTACAACCGACGATTGGGGCAAGTGATGTTAGCGAGGAGCACCTGCGAAGGTCGGGATGGTGCACAAAGGGGGTGGCCAGCACCACGCACACCGGGCCGCTCTCGCCTCTACCGAGTGGCCACGGTAGCTCATCTCAGGCTGAGTCGATCTGGGTGTAGGCACACGACCGGTTCATTGTAATGGTATCTGGTGCGTGTTGCTGGCTGCGCACTGCGCTAACCACTGCGCCTCCACTCCCCCCGAGTGGAAACAGAACACACACACGCGCGTACAGCGATTGCCCTGCGCGGGGCACGTGGGTGCTGTTAGCTATTAGCGCCGGTGTGAGATTGTAGTTTGACCCCCGTAGGATTCTCACTCCGTGGAGGGGGGGGAGGGGCGAAGTAGGGGGTCAAAATACAAATGTTATTCATGGCCCTCTTCCGAATATTACAACAATTGGGTAACGCTTTGGTGTGACGGCGTTGTGCAATGCTGCCGGCCCAGTCGCTCTCGAGAAAGAGCTTCTCGGCTCACCGGCTTTACCGACCGGGACGTGAACTTGTAAACCCCCCGCCCCCGTCTCTCCGCCCCACCGGCAGAGCCAGTTTTTGGGTCATTGTGCTCATCTCACAGCTGTTGTTATGATGGGAGTTGGCCGATGGCTGTCATGTTCGCCTTGAACCCTCATGAAGACAAATGGAAATTCGAAGGAGGCGATATGAAAACCTTGGCCACGCATCCGCGCTCCGATCACACCAATCTGGTGTTTGCAATCCGTCGGCGTTGCGTGTGGCTCGTTGTTGGCGGCCCTTGCCTCGTCCCGGTGGGTGGGGAAGCGCGCGAGTGGGAGCTGGAGCAAGCGAGCGTGAGTGGGAGCAAGCGAGACGAACACTGCCAGTGGGACAATGAAAGTGAGGCACAAACGAGACTCACAATACAAGCGAGGTATATAATACAAATGAGACAGACAATGGAAATGAGATGGGCAATACAAACGAGTCGGACAATACAAACGAGTCGGACAATACAAACAAGTCGGACAATACAAACGAGTCGGACAATACAAACGAGTCGGACAATACAAACGAGTCGGACAATACAAACGAGTCGGACAATACAAACGAGTCGGACAATACAAACGAGTCGGACAATACAAACGAGTCGGACAATACAAACGAGTCGGACAATACAAACCAGACGGACAATACAAACGAGTTGGACAATACAAATGAGATGGACAATTCAAACGAGTCGGACAATACAAACGAGACGGACAATACAAACGAGATGGACAATTCAAACGAGATGAACGGAGACAAAGACGATGACTCCAGGCAGGGTTTCATCTAAGCCGCCTCTGTCTGAGTCAGAGATCCAGAACATATTTTCCATGCCCGGCACACCACACCCAGTATGCCCACATCTCGCTATGACTGTGGCTGCAACTCGAGTCACCTGCCCACCTACTCCAGTCGACACCGGCGACCCGCAGAATATTGAGTGGGAAATTAAACCGTGGTGACCTCATCCCCACCCTAGTCCCAGACCAGGGGTCGGCAAGCAGAAGAACAAGAAAGAGGCTTTTTTTATTCGGTACAAAGACTCAATACTTCAAGAGCATGTGACTAACCCTTTCCTAGACCATAACCCTTAACCGTAACCCTAACACCCAAACCCCATTCCCGTCTCCAACCCTAATCCTAACCTTAACTCTTAAGACGGTCACTTATCATAATCCTAATCGTGGCCCATACTGCAACCCTAATCTACGTGGCTAACCCCAACCACGAGGACGCTTTGCTCTCTAACCACAACCTTATCCCGAACCCCAGCCCCAACCGCACCTGCGATTAGCACGGTTGGTCATGTATGGTACGAAAGAAGTTCAACATACAACCATAATTCTAACCCTATCTTTAACCAAAACGCAAACCCTACTCCAACGGTAACCTTGACCTTATAGCCAAAACCCTCTCCCTCACCCGAATCCTCGTGTCTAACAAGAACTCTCACCATAATCCTGACCCTTACACCAACAAAACAGGCCAACCCTAGCCCCACCCCCTAACCCCAACGATACCCCTAACCCCACCCATCTCCAACCCTAACCCTGACGATATATACCCATACCCCAACCCCTATCTCGAACCCTATCTATAGTCCTCACCCGCACGTTCGCGTTGTACCCGCACACACTCACGTCACGGCGCCCACTATCATCATCACTATCATCATCACGATCATCATCACGATCACCATCACGATCACCATCACGGCCACGCCCCTGAGCCCCGATACCAACCGTGAGACGTGATTGGCGACCGCCCCGGGCCCCGCGCTTTGGGGGGGGCATGCTTTGGGGGGGCTCCGCGATTCGACGTCACGGCTTTGTTTGAAGGCGTCGTGGGGAAGCACACACGGGATGGGGTTTGTCCCGGGCCCCCCACACCACCCCCCCCCTATGGGCGACTCTGCCTGGGGGGACGGGGAAGTGGCGGGGGGGGTGAAGAGTAGGAGGGGGGGTCTGGGTTATTTTTGCTTCAGCCACCCCCCCTCCCCTCGGGGCTCCCACGATGCTGACTCGGCAGTCCCGGGGCTGTGTGCACACCGAGACTCGCTCGGGGAGGGGACACACACAGGTGGCGAGTTGGTGGGGTGTCTGTGAGGTTGTCTGTGTGAGGTTGTCTGTGTGTGTGTGAGAGGTTGTCTGTGTGTATGTGAGAGGTTGTCTGTGTGTGTGTGAGAGGTTGTCTGTGTGTGTGAGGTTGTCTGTGTGTCTTTGTGTTGTCTGCGTGAGTGCGTGGGGAGCGGTAGTGGAGCGGTGAGTGCGCTGCGCTACAAACCCAATTCCCGCTCACGGCCAACACCTGTGACTGATTCATTATCTGAACCCGTCCTGGGCATCTCCTAGGTCCACTCAACCTCAAATGAGTACCTGGTGCGGTGTGTAAAGATCGTCACTAGGGAGACAAAGGCGGCCGGGCGTGGTGCTGGCCACCCCACCCCCTCGTGTTCCATGCCCGCCTTCATAGGTGCTCGTTTGCAGCACTTGCCACCACAGTCTATCAGGTTATACGGGGTCTCTGTGCGAGTCTACGGGGTGTATGGGTCTCTGTGCGAGTCTACGGGGTGTATGGGTCTCTGTGCGAGTCTACGGGGTGTATGGGTCTCTGTGCGAGTCTACGGGGTGTATGGGTCTCTGTGCGAGTCTACGGGGTGTATGGGTCTCTGTGCGAGTCTACGGGGTGTATGGGTCTCTGTGCGAGTCTACGGGGTGTATGGGTCTCTGTGCGAGTCTACGGGGTGTATGGGTCTCTGTGCGAGTCTACGGGGTGTATGGGTCTCTGTGCGAGTCTACGGGGTGTATGGGTCTCTGTGCGAGTCTACGGGTGTATGGGTCTCTGTGCGAGTCTACGGGGTGTATGGGTCTCTGTGCGAGTCTACGGGGTGTATGGGTCTCTGTGCGAGTCTACGGGGTGTATGGGTCTCTGTGCGAGTCTACGGGGTGTATGGGTCTCTGTGCGAGTCTACGGGGTGTATGTGTCTCTGTGCGAGTCTACGGGGTGTATGGGTCTCTGTGCGAGTCTACGGGGTGTATGGGTCTCTGTGCGAGTCTACGGGGTGTATGGGTCTCTGTGCGAGTCTACGGGGTGTATGGGTCTCTGTGCGAGTCTACAGGGTTATGTGTCTCTGTGCGAGTCTACGGGGTTATGGGTCTCTGTGCGAGTCTACAGGGTTATGGGTCTCTGTGCGAGTCTACGGGGTTATGGGTCTCTGTGCGAGTCTACGGGGTGTATGTGTCTCTGTGCGAGTCTACGGGGTGTATGGGTCTCTGTGCGAGTCTACAGGGTTATGTGTCTCTGTGCGAGTCTACAGGGTGTATGGGTCTCTGTGCGAGTCTACGGGGTGTATGGGTCTCTGTGCGAGTCTACGGGGTGTATGTGTCTCTGTGCGAGTCTACGGGGTGTATGGGTCTCTGTGCGAGTCTACAGGGTTATGGGTCTCTGTGCGAGTCTACGGGGTTATGGGTCTCTGTGCGAGTCTACGGGGTGTATGTGTCTCTGTGCGAGTCTACGGGGTGTATGGGTCTCTGTGCGAGTCTACAGGGTTATGTGTCTCTGTGCGAGTCTACAGGGTGTATGGGTCTCTGTGCGAGTCTACGGGGTGTATGGGTCTCTGTGCGAGTCTACGGGGTGTATGTGTCTCTGTGCGAGTCTACGGGGTGTATGGGTCTCTGTGCGAGTCTACAGGGTTATGTGTCTCTGTGCGAGTCTACAGGGTGTATGGGTCTCTGTGCGAGTCTACGGGGTGTATGGGTCTCTGTGCGAGTCTACAGGGTTATGTGTCTCTGTGCGAGTCTACGGGGTGTATGGGTCTCTGTGCGAGTCTACGGGGTGTATGGGTCTCTGTGCGAGTCTACAGGGTTATGTGTCTCTGTGCGAGTCTACAGGGTTATGGGTCTCTGTGCGAGTCTACAGGGTTATGGGTCTCTGTGCGAGTCTACGGGGTTATGGGTCTCTGTGCGAGTCTTCGGGGTGTATGTGTCTCTGTGCGAGTCTACAGGGTTATGGGTTTCTGTGCGAGTCTACGGGGTGTATGTGTCTCTGTGCGAGTCTACGGGGTGTATGTGTCTCTGTGCGAGTCTACAGGGTTATGGGTTTCTGTGCGAGTCTACGGGTGTATGTGTCTCTGTGCGAGTCTACGGGGTTATGTCCGTCCATAGGCGTCTGTGCGGTTCACTCACAGGCAGCCAGACCCAGATCCCAACCCAGGACCTTGGCCATCCTGTCCGAGTGTCTCTGATACGGCCACTGTGAACCTGGCACGGTCACTGTGAACCTGGCACGGCCACTGTGAACCTGGCACGGCCACTGTGAACCTGGCACGGCCACTGTGAACCTGGCACGGCCACTGTGAACCTGACACGGCCACTGTGAACCTGGCACGGCCACTGTGAACCTGGCACGGTCACTGTGAACCTGGCACGGCCACTGTGAACCTGGCACGGCCACTGTGAACCTGGCACGGCCACTGTGAACCTGGCACGGCCACTGTGAACCTGGCACGGCCACTGTGAACCTGGCACGGCCACTGTGAACCTGGCACGGCCACTGTGAACCTGGCACGGCCACTGTGAACCTGGCACGGCCACTGTGAACCTGACACGGCCACTGTGAACCTGACACGGCCACTGTGAACCTGGCACGGCCACTGTGAACCTGGCACGGCCACTGTGAACCTGGCACGGCCACTGTGAACCTGACACGGCCACTGTGAACCTGACACGGCCACTGTGAACCTGGCACGGCCACTGTGAACCTGGCACGGTCACTGTGAACCTGGCACGGCCACTGTGAACCTGGCACGGCCACTGTGAACCTGGCACGGCCACTGTGAACCTGGCACGGCCACTGTGAACCTGGCACGGCCACTGTGAACCTGGCACGGCCACTGTGAACCTGACACGGCCACTGTGAACCTGACACGGCCACTGTGAACCTGACACGGCCACTGTGAACCTGACACGGCCACTGTGAACCTGACACGGCCACTGTGAACCTGACACGGCCACTGTGAACCTGGCACGGCCACTGTGAACCTGGCACGGCCACTGTGAACCTGACACGGCCACTGTGAACCTGGCACGGCCACTGTGAACCTGGCACGGCCACTGTGAACCTGGCACGGCCACTGTGAACCTGGCACGGCCACTGTGAACCTGGCACGGCCACTGTGAACCTGGCACGGCCACTGTGAACCTGGCACGGCCACTGTGAACCTGGCACGGCCACCACCTCGCCGACCTCGTCACGACGTCCCCCCGTCGGTTCCCCCTCCTCCAGAAGCTGCACCTCACTGCCATGGAGCTGCTGGAGACGGAGAGGACTTACGTGAAGAGGCTCAGCCTCCTGGATGAGGTGCTCACCCTGCACCTGCACCCTGCACCCTGCACCTACACCCTGCACCTACACCCTGCACCTGCACCCTGCACCTACACCCTGCACCTACATCCTGCACCTGCACCCTGCACCTGCACCCTGCACCCTGCACCAACACCCTGCACCTACATCCTGCACCTGCACCCTGCACCTGCACCCTGCACCTACACCCTGCACCTACACCCTGCACCTGCACCCTGCACCTGCACCCTGCACCCTGCACCAACACCCTGCACCAACACCCTGCACCTGCACCCTGCACCTGCACCCTGCACCTACACCCCGCACCTACACCCGCACCTACACCCAGCGCATACACCCTGCACCTACACCCCGCACCTACACCTTGCACCCGCACCTACACCCTGCACCCTGCACCTACACCCTGCACCTACACCCCGCACCCTGCACCTATACCCCGCACCCTGCACCTACACCCTGCACCCTGCACCTATACCCCGCACCCTGCACCTATACCCCGCACCCTGCACCTACACCCCGCACCCTGCACCTATACCCCGCACCCTGCACCTATACCCCGCACCCTGCACCTACACCCTGCACCCTGCACCTACACCCTGCACCTACACCCCGCACCTACACCTTGCACCCGCACCTATACCCCGCACCCTGCACCTACACCCTGCACCTACATCCTGCCACTACACCCTGCACCGACACCAACACTCGGCACCTGCACCTACAGAAGGGTCGGGTTAGGGGTCCTTCCATCACTCTGCCGTGGGAGGGGCGCCTCCTGGTGGACACGGCGGTGTATTGCATGCAAAGTGAAGCAAAGGGCCGGGGCAGAATCAGAATCTTTATTTAGAGTGGAAGAATCCGATGAGCTATGAAGCTCTTTTCACAGATGTCCAGATTGCTCCGCTCCCTCCCCCCCCCCACTGCGGAGTGTGTCTGGTTAACGGGGTGAGAACTCAAGATTGCCGTGGTGAGCGGCGCTTGCAAGAGGGATCCGGGATGGCGCCTCCCTTCGTGAGAGCCTTGCACCACGAGACTCGCGCAGCATCGTGAGGGGCGTTGTCGTGCACAGCACTGCGTTCTTTACACATCCCATCAGTCACACGGCCATCTGGGAATGCATACGTTTAGCAGCAATGGCTAGTCAACGCAAGCAAAACTCTGAGCCATTTTAGGCATTCACTGCCTCATCAGCAGTCAGGTTGGCTTGGAACAACGCTGGGGAGTTATCTGATGTTCATCGGCAAAGACTGGTTTCAACAATCAGTGTCTCATCAACAGAGACAGGCTGACTTGAACCAACGCCGGTGGGCTGCCTGATGCCGTAAGAATGCCGCGCAGAGCGGACGAACGGCGAGCTGACGATCCGCCCTCTCTCTCCGCCGTCTCTCGAGGTCAAGAGTTTATCCCCCGCGCTTGCCCGTGGGTTGCCCCGCAGGTGTTCCACAAGCAGCTGCGGGAGGAGGCGGAGAAGGGGTCGTTTTCGGTGGACGTGGTGTCGCAGATCTTCTCCAACCTTCCCTCCATCCACAGCTTCCACCGCGACTTCCTGCTGCCCGAGCTTGAGCAGCGCATGCAGGAGTGGTGCGTGCGGCGGCCACGGCGTCGGCGCGGGCAGCAGTTGCAGTCTCATAATAAAACTGTAAACTCTTTTTATTTGACCACGATGGGCCCACTGAGCTGTACAGCTCTTTTTCAGAAGCGACCTGGCCGCAACGAAGTTGGATTATCACGTGGGAATGTATAGCAGCCAAATACTGTAAACGCGTGATGTCGATTCTAAATGCGGAGGGAAAAACCGGAGGGCCTGGAGAAAATGTCACACGACCACGGGGAGAGAGACATGCAAATTCCAAATATAAGCAGGCGTCAGGGCTGAGATTGAACCCACAACCTCCTGCATGCCAGGCGAGGTAGTTAACATCTCGCGACCAAATTAGGATAGAGACTGTGTGTGTGTTTCTACCTTGGTCTTGTTTACCAATCATCAGGCAAGTGCAGTGTGTAATAATAAATATTATTGCGGTCGCTTTATGGCAGCGACATTTATGGGACTGCATCTCAGAAACGCCAGGGCAGAGCGGAACCTCCTCATGCGCCCGCGGGAAGGGAGTTTCACAACATTCACGCGGCGATCCACCAACCCTCGCTGCTTCCTCCGCAGCGCTGGGTTACAGGCGGCCCTACGTAGCAGTGCCGCCACCATCGCCCCGGCTTAATATGCAAGAACCTAACTTGCACGTCAACCGAGAAGATTGGCAAATGCAGAATGGCGTAACCGTGGTGGGCCGTGAGGACTGGAGTGGCTTAGACGCGTAGCCCGAGGCTCTGCATCGCAAGCAGGGACATTTAATGAGTCCTGATCGTTACCACGACCCCTGCGTGACCTGGTCGCCGCCCCACCGCCCCAGGGACACGAACCCGCGCATCGGGGACATCCTGCAGAAGCTGGCGCCGTTCCTCAAGATGTACGGAGTCTACGTGAAGAACTTCGACGACGCCCACAAGCTGGTGTCCACCTGGACCACCCAGTCGTCGCGCTTCGCCGACATCGTCCTCGACATCCAGGTGCATGCATGCATGCACGCACACACGCACGCACGCACACACACACGCACGCACACACGTACGCATGCAAGTACACACACACGCACGCACACAAGGTACGCACGCACACACGTACGCACGCGCACGCACACACGCGCACACACACGCACACACACGTACGCACACACGTGCCGGCGCAGCGTGGGTCCCGCTACTTCCGTTTCTCACGGCCCCCGACCCACTCCACAGTCCTGCGATGCAACAATGCACCTGGCACCTGCCTGCACACGTGTTTTATTTCATTGCTCCATCTCCGTGTGGGGGGCGTACCCCCACAACCCCCCCTGCCTTTGTCGGACTCGCTGTAGCCAGAGCCACATCTCCACGTTGCTCGCAAACAGCACGTGCCGAGCCCTCCTGGTTTGAGACCTCTGTATGTGTGTGTGTGTTGAACTTCTTTCGCACCGTACATTACCAACCGTGCTCATCGGAGGTGCGGGGGGAAGGACTACAAACTAAACACAAAAAGCAGTTCTCAAGAAATTAGTTTTCAATCTTGACGATTTAAAAGTGCATAGCGCCAGTGGCTTCCCAATATCAGAAAGAAGAGCGTTCCAGACGGCCGCAGAAGCGCATCCGAAAGCGCGCGATGCAGTGACCACTGCTGGCACGGCCCCGCCATGTGACGTCACGTGGACCTTGCGGCCACGCGAGGCCCTGCCGCCTTGAAACGGACCGCAAACGACCCCCTGTCTGTCACACACACATGCGCATGCACACAAAGACAAAGGTCCCCCGTATAGACTTTAGCTGACTGCTGGAGCAAGCAAGTGCTGTTCACGAGTGCCTATAAAGGCTGGCACGACACACGAGGGTGTGGGTGGCCAGCACCACGCCAGGCCGCCTTTGTCTCCCCTTGCTGATGTTTACACACCACACCAGGCACTGGAGGCCCAGGACCGGTTCAGATATTCCCAATTGGTATTGGCTGCAACGAAGCAGGAATCAAAACTCGAGCCGCCGGGTTCGTAGCGCAGTGATATCCACTACACCACCGCTCCCCATGACACACATGCACACAAAGAACAGACGTACACACACTCGCACGTGCAATCCTTAATACCACCCTATCTCCTGTCATCTCTCCTCTGCCCCTCTCCCCTCCCCTCTTCCCTCATCTTATTCGGGACCCACTGGGGACCCCCTCCTCCTTCCCCGCGCCCCCCCTCCCCTCTCCCCCGTGGGGTCCCTACCCCAGCGGCAGGCGGAGTGCATGAACCTGACGCTGCAGAACCACATGCTGGGCCCCGTGCAGCGCATCCCACGCTACCAGCTGCTGCTGCAGGACTACCTCAAGCGGCTGGCACCCGGCGCGCCCGACCGCCCCGACGCCGAGAGTGAGGCGCCTGGCACACACCGCGTTCCGTGTGCCACCCCTTGCCACCCTTTGCCTTTGGCGTAGCTGCTCAGTCACCCCGTCGCATGCCCCAGTCTACACCAGCGACCCGGGAAATATTCAGTCCGAAATTAGGAACGTAACGTTTACGTCTTATATATCGGTCAAATTAAATTCCGTGCGTAACATCGACGGAATGGATACATAAAGATTGTTCCGAACGGTGGTTGTTCCGTTCCAAACGACGTGTTCCGTTCTGATCTGTGTACTCTATGCTGGCGCAAGTTGTGTTCCGTGCCGTGCGTGTTCACGGTTGTGCTGCTGCGTATCTTGCTGGTGTGTTCTCGGGTCGTACCGCGCCTGTTGTTCGGCACGATGTCTGACGTTTCATTCCACGAGCCTCTTCATGTCAGAGAGATGCGCGTGTTTTGTTCTGATCTCTGTGTTCTGTGCGGTGTGTGCTCATTTGAGAGCTGTGTGTGCAAGTTCTTCTGGTGTGTGTGTGTCTAATATGGAGTGCGTTCTGTTCCATCTCTTCTGTTCTACATAACACGTGTTCTGTTCCAAAACCATGTGTGTGTGCGCGCGCGCACGTGCGTGTGTCCTGCGCCGTGTGTGTTTTGCTCCGTGTGCAGAATCGCTGGATCTCATCGCCACGGCCGCCACGCATTCCAACAGCGCCATCAGGCGAAACGTGAGCCCCGCTCTTATCTCTCTCCCCTCTCTCTCCTCTCTCACACTCGCCACCACAAACACATCACTCGCCCCACAGCGTGTCTCCACATGCACCCACATGTACCTGTGTGTCCTCGCATGTCCTCATGAGGTGTCCCGTGTGTCCCTCCACGTGTCTCTGCGTGTTTAGCCCGTGTGTGTCCCCCTGTATGTATTCCACCCCCCCTCCCTGCGTGTCTCCACGAGCTGTCCGCCATGTGTTACACACGTGTCTCCACGTGTCCCACGTGACTCCCCGTGCGTTGTACCTGCGTGTCTCGGTGTGTCCCCCCCCGTGTCCCCGCTCGTCTCACCGTGTCTGCCGCGTGTTGCCACCCCCCCCCCCCCGCCCAGGAGCACATGCAAGCGCTGCTGCGCGTCCACGAGATGCTGGGCGGGGAGGTGACGGACATTGTGTGCCCCGACACGGAGCTGCTCAAGGAGGGAATCATCCTCAAGCGCTCCGTGCGCATCGGTGTCCCGCAGGAGCGCTACCTCTTCCTGGTGAGGCCAACAGCAGCAGCAGCAGCAGGGTCATCATCATCCCCGGCTTCAGATTCATCAAGAACATTAGCATCGGCAGTAGACTCATTGGCATTGGCAGCACCATCGTTGCCATCATCAGCAGCACAATCAGGAGCAAACTTTGTGATCGGCATGAACGCGATGGCGCAATTGCGACACGGCCGGGAATGAGGGCTATCACGTGCCCAGCGGTGGGTTTCAAACAACCCCCAAAGACGCGTCAACAGCGCTCAGCCTTGCGCATTACGCAAAAAAACACCAGTAGTTCCTCCAGAACTGCACATTGTGGTCTTAGGTAACCGTCAAAATACATTTGAGTGACTGTGACTGCCGGACAGTGGCAGTTACTCTCGAGATGTCTGTGAGCCTCTATGCAAATCTATGTGTCTCTAAGTCTATGGGTCTCTAAGTTATGGGTCTCTACAAACTGAGGTACACAAACTATGCATTGGTTTCATCCTTAGTAGGACTCATCAGTAGTACGTCGTAGGCACCAATGCTGACTGCAGCACCCTGCACTCTCACACCACCCTGACACTTTGCCCCCCCCCCCCCCCCCCCCCGGCCTGGCGTAGTTTAACACCATGCTGCTGCACTGCGTGCCCAAGTTGTGGTCCATGGGCCAGCGCTACAGCTTGAGGACGCGGATCAACGTCAGAGACCTCGAAGTGAGGACACAGAGCGACCACGGTGTCCCCACAGACCAACTCCCTAGCCCCCCAACTCCCCAGCTCCCCAGCTCCCCAGCTCCCCATCTCCCCAACCTCCCAGCTCCCCAACTCCCCAGCTCCCCAGCTCCCCAACTCCCCAACCTCTCAGCTCCCCAACACCCCAGCTCCCCAACTCCCCAGCTCCCCAACTCCCCAACTCCCCAGCTCCCCAGCTCCCCAGCTCCCCAGCACCCCAACTCCCCAACTCCCCAACTCCCCAGCACCCCAACTCCCCAGCACCCCAACTCCCCAGCACCCCAACTCCCCAACTCCCCAACTCCCCAACACCCCAGCTCCCCAACTCCCCAGCTCCCCAGCTCCCCAACTCCCCAGCACCCCAACTCCCCAACTCCCCAACTCCCCCAGCTCCCCAGCTCCCCAACTCCCCAGCACCCCAACTCCCCAACTCCCCAACTCCCCAGCTCCCCAACTCCCCAACTCCCCAGCTCCCCAGCTCCCCAACTCCCCAACTCCCCAACTCCCCAGCACCCCAACTCCCCAACTCCCCAACTCCCCAGCACCCCAGCTCCCCAACTCCCCCAGCTCCCCAGCTCCCCAACTCCCCAGCACCCCAACTCCCCAACTCCCCAACTCCCCAGCACCCCAGCTCCCCAACTCCCCCAGCTCCCCAGCTCCCCAACTCCCCAGCACCCCAACTCCCCAACTCCCCAACTCCCCAGCTCCCCAACTCCCCAACTCCCCAGCTCCCCAGCTCCCCCAGCTCCCCAGCTCCCCAACTCCCCAACTCCCCAGCACCCCAACTCCCCAACTCCGCGGGCAGAGCTCGATTCTCGTTCACGGCTCGCGGAAGCGACGAGCGACGTCCGAAAGCGCCCCCACCCCCCCACGTGCTCCCCCTCCCTTTCCTTCGCCAAATAGCACTGGCCAGCTGCTGGTGATGCTGATGTTTTTGTGGATGGTGATGCTGATGTTGGTGATGCTGATGTTGCTGTGGATGGTGATGCTGATGTTTTTGTGGATGGTGATGCTGATGATTCTGTGGATGGTGATGCTGATGTTGGTGATGCTGATGTTGCTGTGGATGGTGATGCTGATGTTTTTGTGGATGGTGATGCTGATGATTCTGTGGATGGTGATGCTGATGTTGGTGATGCTGATGTTTTTGTGGATGGTGATGCTGATGATTCTGTGGATGCGTGCGATGTTGCTCCTGTTGTTGTCGATGCTGCTTTTCTCGCTGTCTGCTGATGAGTCCGATGATGGTGATGCTGATTACGAGTCTGCTACTGCTGCTACTGCTGCTGCTTAAGGTGAAACTCATGCTGATGATGATCATGCTACTGATGGTGATGATGTCGTGGCCCTGCAGGTGAAGGACGTGAACCAACACGACCAGGTCCCCACGTTCCAGGTCTGCGGAGTCCAGAGGACCATTGACTTCCAGGCTCGGTAATCACGGGGGGCTGGAGTCGTGATCCCCCCAAGGGTGGGGTGGGGGGGGGTGCAGGGGTAACCTGGGGTCACGGACTGAGAGATAATGGAGATGGGTTCAGGCCAGTAGGTGAAGTTAAAGAGTTGCCACTGCGAGTGTGTGGTTGGCTGGTTGGTTCGGGTCGGTGACAGCTGCCTCTCTGGCTGGTAAGGGCTGGGCCTGCTCCTCGTGGCTCACGAGCGAGGGTTGGCTTCAGGGAGTGCATTTGGCTGGCAAGTTTGCTCTGCTCCAGATGCTTTACTCGCCTCTCCTTCCCGTTGCCGGAGGTCACACCTGCTCCTCCCCCTCCTCCTCGAGCCACGCGGAGGAGGAACCAGAGTGTTAACGGTGGGATTGAAGTCACGGAGTTAAACGGTGGAACACTCGCACTCACAGTGACCCGGTGTCCCTCCCTCTCTCTTTCACCTCCCTCCCTTCTTCCCCCTCCGCTCCCTTTGGATGCAAGGACGGAGAAAGAGAAGCAGGAGTGGATGAAGGTGAGAGCAGACAGCTCGGGCAAAGTACACTCTCGTAGACTGCACTGCGTCACACTCAGATACTGAGTGTCACTCCTCACAAAGATCCGCCGTGTAGCCATAACAGACTGTTGGGGCAAGTGCTGTTAGCGAGTCGCACCTATCAAGGCCGTCACGGCGCACGAGGGGGTGGGTGGCCAGCACCACGGCCGGCTGCCGTTGTCTCCCCAGTGGCGATGTTTACACGGTGCACCAGGTACTCGTTTGAGGCTGAGTCGCCCTCTAAGAGACCCAGGACCGGTTCAGGTAATCGTCACCGGTGTTGGCCGTGAGCTGGAATCAAACTAGGTTCGGCCGGGCCACTCGCGTCAGTTTCAGAAAGTTATGTCCCGGTGTCCCCTCCGGAGCGTTGGCGACGATCGGGTTTTTGTCTCTGGTTCAAAGCTTCTGGCTTCGTGCTCAACTCATGATGCGGGCGATGAGCAGGGCTACCTGAGCGGTGGGCGGGGCTACCCAGGCAGCGGGTGGGGCTACCCAGGCAGTGGGCGGGGTTACCCAGGCAGTGGGCGGGGTTACCCGAGCAGTGAGCAGGGCCAATGTGAGAACGGGCAATCCGCTCGCTGTGTTGGCGGAGTTAATGGTTGAGCAGGGCGTGGCCAAGTGAAAGTGGGTGGGGCTTCCAGCTCAGCACCACCATGTGTCATGGTTGAGCCTCCCAGAAACGTGCGTTGTCTCGACTACAAATACCACTCTAATGCCACGTAGTGTCACTAACGCACGCACACGCACGCACGAGCCGTAGACGGACCCTGGGTTCGGGGCTCGCGTTCGGTCGGTCCGACCCTGACGGTGCAACCTGGTGCCACACTTCCAGGCCATTAACGAGGTGATAAAGACGTTCCGCGAGAAGGAGGAGACCTTCATGGGCCACAAGAAGGACGTGGTCGAGGGCCCCAGCGTGTCGGTGAGCCAGCGACGAGCGCAGCGATGACGTCTGATGCTGCGCGTTTCTTTTTGCTGCGAATGTCTCCGACGTTGCCCAGCGATCGCGCGTTCGGCGCTCGTTGCAGAGATTTGGCGGTTAGGTTCCGGCAGGCTGCCCTGGTTAATGCCGTGTTGGTGTGGTAAATTCGTGCTCGCCGTCTGCTTTGCGGTGGACGTTAAAGGTCCCGTGACGTCAATCGAAACGAGCACTCGGCCACTGTGTACCCGCGTCGCGGTGCAGATTTGCCAAATCAGAAAAATGACACCGCAAATCACTCGGCTGCGTCTTTGCGTAAGTCTATTGGTCTCTAAGTCTGTGGGTCGTCGTGCAAGTCTATGGGTCTCTGTGGAATTATTTGGGTCTCTATGGAAGTCTGTCTTTCCGTAAGACTGTGTCTCTATGTGTCACTAAGTGTCTTTGCTTGACCTCCCCTCCCCCCTCAGAGCCCCCCCGCGACCCAGGGGCTGGAGCTGGGCCAGCGTGCTCCCATGTGGGTGCGCGACGTCAACGTCACGCTGTGCATGGCCTGCCAGGATCCGTTCACGGCGCTCACGCGCAGGCGCCACCACTGCCGTGCCTGCGGGAAGGTGCGGCGTGCCCCCCCCCCCCTCCACGTGGTGTATGTATTTTTATTTTACCAGGTAAGGCTGTATAGCTCAATTTCAGAGACGAACTGGTCACAAATGACAGCTCAACGAAGTAGCTTATCATTGTGTGTACATTTATTGCAGCCAAATACTCTAAAACGCGTGATGGTGATTTTAAATGTGGAGGGGAAACCCCGGAGGACCCGGAGAAAAATCCACGCGACCACGGGGAGAGAGAGAGACACCGCAAACTCCAAATATACAGCAGCAGCAGGCGTCGGGGTCGGGATCGAACCCGCGACCTCCCGTAGACCAGGCGAGGTAGTCAACGTGCGCAAAGTTGTTTCGCACGGTACGCAGCCGACCGTGCTGATCTGCGGCGGCGGTGGCGCCGCGTGCGGTGTGCTGTCCGCGCAGGTGGTGTGCTTTAAGTGCTCGGACCACCGCGTGCTGCTGGCATACGAGCCGCGCAAGCTGCAGCGCGTGTGCTGGACCTGCTACGCGCAGCTCACCGAGGAGGCGCGCACCAGCACGGCGGCCATCAAGAACCGCAACATCCTGCAGGTGCGGGCGGCTCCCCCGTGTCACGCCTCGCAAAAAAGTTTCTGTTTGGTGTTTGAACATCTTAACACCTCTTTTTATTGCCAGAGAGGGTAAACCACTCGATTCTGATTGCTTCATCAGATTGGGAAACATTTCAGTCACCCCCCTCCCCTCCCACCCACCACACCGGTAGAAGCAGAGTGCCGAGGAGGCGACACGGGAGAGCATCATCTGCGGCTCGCTGCACTTCCTGGAGTGTGGGGGGCGGCAGAGCTGGGCGCGCGTGTGGTGCGTCATCCCGCGCAGCGACCCACTCGTGCTCTACGTCTACGCCGCTCCGCAGGTGCCAGCGCCCCCCTCCGCTAACCGCTGCCCCCCCTCTGCTAACCGCCGCCACCCACTGCCCCCACCACCCCCCGCAGCTAACCACTGCCTCCAATCCGCTGCCTCCCAGCGGAGTACACCGTCTAAACTGATCTATGTTTATTTCACCAGGTAAGGTCCACTGAGCTATGTAGTTCTTTTTCAGAAGCGACCTGGCTCTCTCAAATGACAGCCTAACGAGAAGTGGCTCGTCACCATGTGAGAATGTATCGTGGCCACATTCTCTTCAAGGCGCGTTGATTTTAAATGTGGAGGGGAAAAACCGGAAGGCCCCAAAGAAAACACCAGGCGACCACGGGGAGAGAGACGCAAACTCCAAACGTGCGGCAGGCGCCCTCCTGCACACCAGGCGAGGTGGTTGACCGCGTGCGCGTGCGCGTGCGCCCGCAGGACGTGAGGGCGCTCAAGACGCTGCCGCTGCCGGGCTACGAGGTGCGGTCGCCAGCGGCGGGCGACGGCGTGGACGGCCGGCGGGCGCTCGTCCTGGCGCAGTCGCAGCGCCGCCTGGGCCTCGCGGCCGACACGGACGCGCTGCTCCTCTCGTGGAGACGCGCGCTGGAGCAGGCGGCGCTGGGACAGGTGCCGGGCGTCGATGAGGACGACAGCTTCTCGGACGACGACGACAGCGACGGGCCGGAGGCGGGACCCGATGGTGCCGACTGATGGCGATGGCGGCGATGGCGATGATGATGATGACGACGCCGTTGATGGTACATTCGACGCTTCTTCACGTGGACTCGAAGTGCACCTAGCCTGGGACAAGCGCTGTGGTGACGTCACCGTCACTTGATGGCGAATGGAGGCCATCATTGTTGGTGGTACCCAGCGACACTGGTGGTACTGTTGGTGCTGATGGCGATGATGGTACTGATAGTGCCAATGGTAATGGTACGGATGATGCAAATGGTATGGATGGTTACTGATGATGCCGATGACGCCGATGACGCCGATGATGTGCCGACAAAGTAATTGCACAGCTGTCGTAGCGTCCGAGTCGACGTGAGCTCGGTCACGACGGTCGCAACCCACCATCTGCCGAGCTGCGCTGCTCGAAGGGAAGATCGCGGTGATCGTCCCGTGTCGCGTGGGGAGGGGGGGGTCTACTCGGTCCTGCCATAGGAATGCGGAATGTCAACCGCCGGATTAGGACCGGCGGAGCAATGGAGCGTTGCCAAACGGCCCCTACTGGGCATGGAAACACGTGCCTCAGTATTGACACAGATGTTGACGACGATGACGACGACGATCGATCAAACTACGACAGGGCGCCGGGATCGTTGCGGTGAGGTGTAAGATGCGTCGGGATGCTGGGGTATTGAAGGAATGTCCTGCGAATGCAAATCCACCTCCCCTCGCGATGACGGAGCCGGCCGGGTGCCTCGGCGGGCAGAGCGGCGGTGAGTCCACATCCCGGCTGCGGGTCGCATCGGCCCATCATCATCCCTCCGGGGTCGATGAAATGAGTGCCGCTTTGTGGAGGAGTCGACCCACAGCAGTTGTCGTGTTGTCGAGACTCGGCCCCGCATGGGGGGGGGGGGGGGGGAGCTTCCACCCCCTACTCTGGCGGGGCTGCAAACAGGAAATGGCCACAAGTGCCTCAATGCTCAGTTGAGCACGAATCCACTTTTTTAAACGACGATGATGATGGCGATGATGTTGCGTCGAATTGGGAGTTGGGTTAGGAATAAGGGTACGTACGGTTTGATGTAAGGTCAGGGGTCAGAGTCAGGGATAGTCAATGTATGGGTACTGTGTGTGTGGTAGTGTATGGAGAGTCGTAGTTTTATGCATAGGGTAAGGGTAGGGGTGGTGTTAGTGTATGGGTAGTGTTAGGATTATGGGTAGGGTTAGTGTTTGTGTAGAGTATGGGTAGTGCTGGTGAGAAGCCTGTGCAATATGTGTGCGTGCATTGTGTGTGCGTTCTGTGTGTGTGTGTGCGTCTTTGTTGTCGGGATTTGAAGCCAGGGACTCGCGTTTCCTCTGCATGTGGCTGGGCGCTGTGAACTCCCCCGCGTAGCAAGTGGAGAGGGCTTGCATCTAATTGGCCAGCGTGCCGCGGGTTAGCACTCGCCTATGATTGGCTAGCGTGGCCAGGCTGGCGCATGTCTCGGGCTCGTGTGCTCAGAGCAATGATCTGATCACGTCGTGCAGCTATAGCCACGCTCTGATTGGCTATTGCAGCTATAGCCACGCTCTGATTGGCTATTGCAGCTATAGCCACGCTCTGATTGGCTATTGCGGCTATAGCCACGCTCTGATTGGCTATTGCGGCTATAGCCACGCTCTGATTGGCTATTGTGGCTATAGCCACGCTCTAATTGGCTATTGTGGCTAAAGCCACGCTCTGATTGGCTATTGCAGCTATAGCCACGCTCTGATTGGCTATTGTGGCTATAGCCACGCTCTGATTGGCTACTGTGGCTATAGCCACGCTCTGATTGGCTACTGTGGCTATAGCCACGCTCTGATTGGCTATTGTGGTGAGAGCCAATATGGCTGTCGCTAATCTATGATTGGCCAGTTTTGTTAGCGCCAAGTCCAGTCGTGGTTATGGTTCATCTCTGATTGGCTAGTCATGAACGCAGTAATCTCTGATTGGCTAGTCATGAACGCACTTATCTCTGATTGGCCAGCTTTGCTAGTGCTAATCTCTGATTGGCTAGTCATGAACGCACTTATCTCTGATTGGTCAGCTTTGTTAGTGCTAATCTCTGATTGGTTAGTCATGAACGCACTAATCTCTGATTGGTCAGCTTTGCTAGTGCTAATCTCTGATTGGTCAGCTTTGCTAGTGCTAATCTCTGATTGGTCAGCTTTGCTAGTGCTAATCTCTGATTGGTCAGCTTTGCTAGTGCTAATCTCTGATTGGCCTCTTCGCTCTCGCGTTAGTTCCACGGGGGGGGGGGGGGGGAATTTCACAGCCGCCCCCGGCTCGCGATAGTCTTCGATTTTTACCAAAGCCCGGGGTGGATCATCGCAACTCCGGATCCACCCCGGACCGCGTCCGTCTGTCTGTCCGTCCGTCCTCCGCGCTTTGTCGATGTTCGCGCTCGGTCCGGTGCGTGCATGTGTTTGTGCAGGGTCCAGGATCATTTTTAAAAAAACGGGGATATGAGATGTAAACAAACGTTCGTTGAATGGAATAAAGACGCCAGTTGTCGCAACTTGAGTGGTGGTGGCGATGGTCATGTCTGTTTGGAACGTGGCAGGAACGTGTAGATGTAATCGGGAGGAGGTTGTTGTGTTGGGTGGGACTCTTGGTCACAATGAAGGAGTATAGGGTAAGCATCTTGGAGGTGCAGAAATTAACGTGGCAGGGATTTCGATTTTTATATCCACTGCGATATAGATGGTCTGAAACATACGAAGATCCATAGACCCACCCACCGCAGCATTAACCAGGCCGGCCGTCCGGAACCGAACCGCGAATCCCTGCAACAAGCGGCAAGCTCGCGGCACCCGGGACTGTGGAAAGCGCCCGCGAGGAGATGAAGCGGTGAAGTCGGATCGCGGTGCGCAGGCGCCGGATCGTGAGATCACCGGGTCGCGAGATGGAGCGTTGGCGACGACTCGGGAGAGGATGGCTGAACGGCGGAGGGTGCCGTCCTCACCCTGGCTGGCGTCCATCCAGGAGGTGTCAAAGACGCCTGAACGCGTCAAATAGACACCGATTAAAAGGCGCGTCATCACGTCTGTGCAAATAACAACAACCGCCATTGGCCACCAATTGGTGGTGACGTTCACCATGGCACCTTTACCAGGCGAAGTGCACTTTAAGGCTACGTGAAATATCGAACGCCCGCTGGCAGGAGGTCACGGGACAGACCCAGCAGGTGCCACGGGTCGACCGACTGAGATGACTGGCCGATGCACCACCTGTGCCACCTACTGTGCCAACTTGCTGCGTTTTTTGCCGCTCAGCGCTCTGCTCGTCGTTCCGCTTGTTGCTGTGAGCGTCGCTCCTCCGCCCTCCGTTGATGCTGGAGGACGACTGCCTCCAACTGCCCAATAGCAGCAGCGTCCTTCACGAGCCTCCTCCACAGAGGCCGATCGAAGCATGTTCGCGTGTTTTACCACGAGGCCGTGTGGTTGTGTAGACCACAGTGCTTTGTAAGTGGTGACTCCTCCACCTGTATTCGCGCCTTGACCCTGGCGAAAAATCCCCCCCCCCTGAGTATGACTCCTTCATCCAGCGGTGGATTTACCATGGCTGACGACAATGATGGCAACATTTTGTATGCAATAGATTCCCGCGACAAACCGATTGCACCGCGTTCTTGAATTGAGTCGCGACTACTTGAGTCGTGGATTATTTGTCGAATCGCAGGGGGCGGGTGGGGAATGAACCCTTGCACCCCCCCGAGTGAATAGCGCCATTGTTCTGTGGCCGCGCGTGCACGCAGGAGTCTCGGTGACAGAGATACCACGACCCTGTAATCATCGGCAGACTTGAAGAGTATCGCCCCGCTCACCTTGAACATCGGGCCGGGCCCCACGCTCCCCACCCACCACTGTGGTGGCCTCCCTGTCTCGCTCCGTGGTGCTGGTGTGTGTGTGGTGTGTGTGTGTATAGTGTGTGTAGTGGGTGTGGTGTAGTGTGTGTGGTGGGTGTGGTGTGTGTGTAGTGTGTGTGTGGTGTGTGTGTGTGGTGTGTGTGTCGTGTGTGTATGGTGTGTGTAGTGTGTGGTGTGTGTGTAGTGTGTATGGTGTGTGGTGTGTGGTGTGTGTGTAGTGTGTATGGTGTGTGTGTAGTGTGTGGGTGTGTGTGGTGTGTGTGTAGTGTGTGTAGTGTCTGTGTCTACACAGCAGTAGTGTAGCGGTTAGCGCGCTGCGCTACAAACCTGGCGACCAGAGTTCAATTCCCGCTCACAGCCAACCCCGGTGACGATTATTTAAACCGGTCCTGGGCCTCCCCTCGGTCTACTCGACCTCAAATGAGTACCCGGTGGCAGTGTGTAAACATCGCCACTCAGGAGACAAATGCGGCCGGGCGTGGTGCTGGCCACCCAGCCCCTCGTGTGCCACAGCGCCGGCAGCCTTCATAGGAGCTGCTCGCGACCAGCCCTTGCGCCCACAGTCTGTCCAAGGCGAGACGAGGGATCTTTGTTGTTGTTTGTGTGGCCACGGAGAGGGGGGAGGTTTCTCGCAATATAACAAGGCCTGCTACACGAGCGGTCTTGTCGTTGAGCGAACCTGGTGCTGCTGATGAGCCACGGAAAGGCGAAACCAGTCCGGCGTTTGTGTTCTGAAACACGTTCTTCTGGATCTAGAGTTAAGAGCCGGGGGTTAATGATTATGGTGGTGAAGGGTTCGGATTTAGGATTTGAGTTTAGGGTTTAAGTTTGGGCTTAGGGTGTATAGTTAGGGGTTTGGGAATCTGGTTAAGTTTAAGGATTGGGGTTTAGGGCCAACGGTTGTGGAATTTGGTTTTAATGGTCGGGGTTAATTATTGACTCCTGGCTCGCAGCGCAGAGCGGGTTCTGGTCCTGAGTCGCGGTTGCCACGAGTCGCGTCCGACAGAGCCACCCGCGCGACTGTTGCTGGCGACTTTCGGAATTCGAAATCCGCGGAAGCTCGCTGGTCGCAGGTGAGTGCCGTGCTGAAGCGAACCTCTCTCTCCCCTCCTCGGCCGTGCCGTGGTGTCTCACCAGCGGCGCTGTCGATGGGTCACGAGGTCACCGCGGTAGCCGCCGGCCCGACTCCGATCTCCTATCTCCCGGCGCGGCAGTTGAAAGCAACGCGGCGCGTCTCATGACGCTGCTGCAGGTGTCCCAGCTGGGGAAGCGGTGGCGGCTTGTGAACACGGCCCTCGGTTGTCGTTTAACAACCCTGTCGATTATTGACCGATACGTACTTGAGAACGTGGCCGCGTGTGGGTCATTAATCGCTTCTTTTTTTATCAAGCGAAGTTTCGGCTGTGAAGGCGTCTTCGGGTTTATCGGGAAACATTTGATACCTTAAAGTTCTGCGTGATTTTCTTGAGCAATCAACTTTTGACTTTGAACTGATACCATTGGGATACACAGAAATATATATATTACCTATTTTTTCCCATATTTTATTATATTACTATCATATATTTTAACATAAAAATATAGCAAACGGATATCGATAAAATACAATCCTATTCTAATCCAATACTGGATTAAGGCCAGATGCGAACCCCATGGGTACCCCCCTCTGGGAAGGAATTGAAAAGGCGAAACAATACAAACGAGACGGTACTTTAAATGTATATTGTAATCGAACATGTATTCTAATCGATTCGCTGGAGTTCGGGGGAGGGATACGGGGGACGGGGACCCTTGACCCTAAATCCTAACTCTACCCCTAAACATATCTCCTTACCTCCAGCTGCGCCTAATCTCGTCTCTAACTCTAATCAGCACCTCCGACTCTTCCCCCAATCTCTTACCCCCGACCCTATAGCCCTCGCAGCAACAGCTGCCTCGAACCCTGCCCCCCACACCGAGCGAGCCGCGGCCTCCGTGAGCCCGAGTCGCTCCGCAGGGTCAACTTGGCTTGCAGGGGCAGGGTGGCGGGGGGGCAGGGGCAGGGTGGCGGCAGGGCAGGGTGGCGGGGGGGCAGGGGCAGGGTGGCGGGGGGGCAGGGACAGGGTGGCGGGGGGGCAGGGACAGGGTGGCGGGGGGGCAGGGACAGGGTGGCGGGGGGCAGGGGCAGGGTGGCGGGGGGGCAGGGGCAGGGTGGCGGGGGGGCAGGGACAGGGTGGCGGGGGGGGCAGGGACAGGGTGGCGGGGGGGCAGGGACAGGTTGGCGGGGGGGCAGGGGCAGGGTGGCGGGGGGGCAGGGGCAGGGTGGCGGGGGGGCAGGGACAGGGTGGCGGGGGGGCAGGGACAGGGTGGCGGGGGGGCAGGGACAGGGTGGCGGGGGGGGCAGGGGCAGGGTGGCGGGGGGGGCAGGGGCAGGGTGACGGGGGGGGCAGGGGCAGGGTGGCGGGGGGGGCAGGGGCAGGGTGGCGGGGGGGGGGCAGGGGCAGGGTGGCGGGGGGGGGCAGGGGCAGGGTGGCGGGGGGGGCAGGGACAGGGGGCAGGGGCAGGGTGGCGGGGGGCAGGGCAGGGACAGGGTGGCGGGGGGGGCAGGGACAGGGGGGGCAGGGACAGGGTGGCGGGGGGGGCAGGGAGAAAGGGGAGGAGGGTGGCGAGTAGGATGGAGGGACGTGGGGGGTGATGAGTAGGACGGAGGATTTACCGGAGTCGATTGACCAATCCCGCTACCCCTGACTCGCGTCTTCCCCCGCGTCCTGGACGCCTGCTTGGGGGTAGCAGGGAGGGGGTGGGTGGGGGGGTGCAGCATCTGCGCTCAGGAGCTCTCACCCGCCACTCGAGGACGCGGTAGAAGAGATCCGTGAACACAGCCCGGCGTAGACAGCCGCGTGTCCACAGTGCGAGGCCTCTTCAGCTGCTGCGCTATCACGCGCGTGATCGCGGGGCGACTCCGCTCGGTGCTGCACTCGCCACCTGCTCGATCTGTGCTCGCTGCCCACTCCCCCCGTCTCTCGCTGCCCACTGCCCCGTCTCTCGCTGCGCCTCCCCCCTCGTCACCGACCCACAGGACCGATGCTCGCCACGCCGCGACCTCTGCTTCTCCCCTCTCTGCTCGCGATGCTGGGTTCGCAGGGGGTCGACGCGGCCGGAAGTGGGACCCAGGGTCCCCTCGGTTCTCTCGGACCCTTGGGCCCCCCCCCGGCGCCCCCGGGGCGTGAGAGGGGACCCCTTCCCACGGACCCCGCGCCGCCCGCGCTCTTCACGATAGGTACGTGGCACAGACGCCAAGGGGGGCCTGTCCAGGCTGGGCGAGCAGGTCGGTGAGTTGGTGAGGACGTACTGTAGATTGGTGAGTGGGTGGATGGGCGGGTAGGTTGGCGAGTAAGTAGGTTGGTGAGTGAGTGAGTGGGTTGGTGAGTGAGTGAGTGGTTTGGTAAGTGGGTTGGTGAGTGAGGTAGTTTGGTGAGTTAGTGAGTGTGTTTTGAGTGAGTGGGTTGGTGATTTCGTGAGTGAGTTGGTGAGTGAGTAGGTTGGTGAGTAAGTAGGTTGGTGAGTGAGTTGGTGATTGTGGTGGGGACTATGTGTATTTATCCATAATAGAGTTTTTTTTTTGGGTTAGATCGCGTCAATATATAAATGTGTCGTTAAACCCGCCACCACCCGA